ACACTTATTAGCCATTTTTAGTCATTTTAACTGATTAGTAAATAAATTTACATAGTCCATAATTCATGATTTTATGAGCAATAACCGACTATTTTTGGTTATTTTTAGTCATTCGAACCCATTGGCAAATAATTTCATGGGAGCCAAAATTAACGATTTCATGAGGTATAACCCATGATTATTTATTATTTTTAGTTTCTTTACTTGTTCCCAAATAATTTCACTTAGACCAAAATTCACGATTCATGAACTATAATACATGATTTTGGGCTATATTAAGCCATTTCGACCTCTTTACAAATAGTATTGTAGTTGTCAAAATTCAATATTTCATGAGCTAGAATCTACAATATTTGCTCATCTTTAGTATTTTATGACACATAGGCAAATAATTTTATAAAGGTCAAAACTCACTATTTCATGGGCTATAATTCATGGTTATTAGTCATTTTTAGTCATTTTAACCCATTGATAAATAATTTTGCGTAGTCAAAATTTTACTATTTCATGAGCAATAACGAGATTTCTGGCTAGTTTTAGTTGTTTCGACCCATTGGCAAATAATTTCGCAAGAAAAAATTTACAATTTTGTGATCAATAACCCATGATTCTTTGATATTTTTAGTTGTTTCGACCCATTAGATAATAATTTTACGGATGCTTAAAATCACGATATCTTGAGCTATATTCCACGATTTTTGTCATTTTTAGTCGTTTAGACCCGTTGACAAATAATTTCGAGAAGGCCAATGTGACATCTCACGTGATTGACAACGACATTTTCAAGGGAAAGGTTTAGTCCCACATCGGTGGGAATGTGAGTAATTGAGGCATTTATATAGTGAAGCTAAAGACTCAAGTGTAACATAGGCTAGTCGATTTTGGCAGTGGTTTGAGCCAAACAGCACGTTACACTCAATGGGTCTCACGTAGGGGTGCTAAACTGTATCCGTATCCGATGAAATATCCATAACTGTATCCGTTAGGATACGAATATGGTTACTCAAATTTATAACCGATAGGATATGGTTATGGATATGGTTTTGTAGTAAAATATCCGTATCCGTATCCGAAATATCTGAATACATATTAGTCATACTCTTACGATAGTTTCGATTATTAGATTATTGATTTGTGGTTAATTTTGATGATCAAGATGTCTAATCCCCCAACCCTTGAGAGGGTGATGTGATTAGTATTGATAGATTTGATTGGAATACTCATACCACCAAGATGCATCTTCTTTTCGGGAACCTAACTCTTAGAAACTCCAAAGTTAAGCGTGCTTGGCCTGGAGAAATTCTAGGATAGGTGACCCTCCTGGGAAGTTTTCCAGGGAGCGCGTGAGTGAGGACAAAACGTGCTGAAAAGACATGTGATGGTTTGTGAGGCCAGTCCATCAGATCTTATAGCCTACCGACTCCGGGATTCCGGGGCGGGGTGTTACAAATGGTATCAGAGCCAAGCCAACCGGAATTGTGAGAGCTAAGTGCTATACGGCGCAAAGTGCTACGTCGAGAGGGCGGGAGCCACCTCTTGAGGCCGTAGGAGCCACCTCTAGAATCTCACACGGATGGTACGGTCTTGGATGATATGATTTGGCACAACGAGGACGTTGTGAGTTTAAGTGGGGGAGTTTGTAATACCCTAACCCTTGAGAGGGTGATGTGATTATTGATAGATTTGATTGGAATACTCATACCACCAAGATGCATCTTCTTTTCGAAAACCCAACTCTTAGAAACTCCAAAGTTAAGCGTGCTTGGCCTGGAGAAATTCTAGGATGGGTGACCCCCTGGGAAGTTTTTCAAGGAGCGCGTGAGTGAGGACAAAAACATGCTGAAATGACATGTGGTGGTTTGTGAGGCCAGTCCATCAGATCTAATAGCGTACCGACTCCGGGATTCCGGGGCGGTTTGTGAGGCCAGTCCATCAGATCTAATAGCGTACCGACTCCGGGATTCCGGGGCGGGGCGTTACAACATATTAGTCATACTCTTACGATAGTTTCGATTCTTAGATTATTGATTTGTGGTTAATTTTGATGATCAAGATGTCTAATCTTAACTTTTTAGTTATAATGGATATATTAACGAACTCTTTTGTATCACATGAACTATGGTTTTCTCAATACTATCTAGTTTTCTCATATCTGTTTTGTATCCGCATGCATATCCGCTTATATATCCGAATGTATATCCGTAACCGTATCTGATTTTTAGCGGATATGGTTATAAATTTTCTTACCGAGGTATATCCGTATCCGTATCCGTATTCGAGATGGGTAAGCGGATATGGATATGGTAAGCATCATATCCGAGCCGTATCCGGACCGAATGCACCCCTAGTCTCACGGCTTGCACGCGCCAACGGACCCGCGGGTCCGGGGTGTGACAGCCAAAGTTCATGATTTTATGAGCCATAACACATAGTTTGTTACCATTTTTAATCATTTTGATCTATAGCAAATAATTTTGCAGTGGCTAAAATTCATAATTTTGTGAGTTATGACCCATGATTTTTGGTCATTTTTTGTCATTTTTAGTCATTTCACCCTGTTGACAAATAATTTTATGGAGGTAAAAATTCACGATTAATGAGCTATTACCCAAGAGTAGTTAGTGGCCATTTTTAGTCATTTTGACCCCTTCGCAAATAATTTCACAATGGCTAAAATTCATGATTCCATGAGTTATATCCTATAATTTTTTGCTATTTTTAGTAGTTTGACCCATAGGCAAATAATTTCGTAGAGGCCAATATTCATGATTTCAACAGCTATAATGCACGATTATTGGCCATTTTTAGTTATTTTCACATTTTGGTAAATAATTTCGTGAAGGACAAACTAACAATTTCATGAGAAATAAACCTACAATATTTGACCATTTTTAGTTATTTCAACCCATTGGTAAATAATTTTGCTAGAAAAAAATTCAAGAATTCGTTATCTACAGCCCATGGTTTTTTTGTTATTTTAATTCATTTCGATCTACTGACAAATAATTTTACGAGGCCAAAATTCATGATAGCATGAGCTATAACCCGTGATTATTTTTCATTTTTAGTTGTTTCGACCTATTAGCAAATAATTTAACGAAGACCAAATTTCATGATTTCATGAGCCATAACCCATGATTCTAGCCATTTTTAGTCATTTTGACTCCTGGAAATAACTTTGCAGTGGCCAATTTTCACAATTTTGTGAGGTATAACCCACTATTCCTAGCTATTTTCAATCATTTCGACCCGTTGACAAATAATTTCATGAGATCCAAATTCATAATTTTATGAGTTATAACTCATGATTATTTACCCTTTTTAATCATTTTGACTCATAAGGAAATAATTTCATGGAGGTCAAAATTCACGATTTCATGAGCTAAAACCCACGATTTTTTAACATTTTGAGTTATTTCGACCATTAGCAAATAATTTCGTATAGGCCAAAATTCACAAATTAATGGGCTATGACCCACAGTATATAGCCATATTTAGTCATTATGACCCCTTTTGCAAATAATTTTGTAGTGCCTAAAATTAAAAATTTTATGAGCTATAATTCACTGTTTTTGATCATTATTTGTAGTTTCAACTCATATGCAAACAATTTCACAGAGACAAAACGAACAAAATGAAAAAATAGTGTCGGTCATAGCTCAGGAAATCATGAAGTTTGAACACCATAAAAGTATATGCCATTAGATCAAAGCGAATAAAAAAATTTCAAAACCGATGGTTAAAGCTCGTGAAATTGTGAATTTTAAATTCTAAAATATTGCTTGTCATTAGGTAGAAATAAATTAAAATGGACAAAAGTCGTAGGTTATAGCTCTTGAAATCGTGAATTATAAACTCTGCAAAATTATATACCATTGGGTAAAATGAACGAAAATGCACAAAAATCGTGAGTTAAGCTCATGAAAATTTTATTTTGAACTCCACAGAAATACTTCTCATTGGATCAAAATAAACTAAAATGGCAAAAAATCGTGGCTTAAATATCATGAAAACGTGAATTTTCAACTCCACAAAATTATTTGCCATTTGGTCAAAAACAAAAAAAATCAAAAACATATGGGCTATAGTTCATAAAATTATGAATTTTGAACTCCATAAAATTATTTGTCATTGAGTTGAAGCAAGCAAAAAATTCAAAAATTGTTTGTTATAGCTGATAAAAATCGTGAATTTTTAACTCTATAAACTTATTTTTCATTGGATCGAAACGAACAAAAATAAACAAAAATTGTTGGTTATAACTCTTTAAATCGTGAATTTTAAACCCTGCAAAATTACGTACCATTGGATCAAACTGAACAAAAATGCACAAAATTTATGGGTTATAACTAATGAAATTGTGACGTATTGAACTCCACAAATTATTTGTCATTAGGTCAAAACAAATTAAAAAATTAAAAAATCGTGAATTATAGCTCATAAAACATGAATTATAAACTCCGCAAACTTATTTTCTATTGGGTCCAAATGAACAAAAACATACAAAAATCATTGTATTTAACTATTGAAATGGTGAATTTTGAATGTGAAAAATTATTTACCATTGGTTAAAACGAACTAAAATGCACAAAAATTAAGGGTTATAACTCATAATATTGTAAATTTTAAAATCTACAAAAATACTTGTCATTGGGTCAAAACGAACAACATGAGACAAAATGTGTTATAGCTCATGAAACCATGAATTTTAAACTCCAAAAATTTATGTGCTATCAGGTCAAAACTAATAAAAATAAGTTCAAAACACATGGTTAATAACTCTTGAAATTATGAATCTTAACCTCCACAAAAACACTTGTCATTAGGTTGAAACGAACTAAAAGAGACCAAAATCACAAGTTATATATTATGAAATCTTGAATTTTAAGCTCCACAAAATTATTTGGCACTTGATCAAAATGATAAAAAATCAAAAATTCTTAGAATATAACCCATGAAATTATGAATTCGAACTCAAAAAATTATTTACCATTGGGTCAAAACAAACAAAAATATTCAAAAATTGTGCCCATTTTGAACTCCGCACAGTTTCGAGCCATATTACAACAAATCCGGGGGGCTCATTACAAACTCCCAAGCAATAATTGGGGTTTCCTTAGATTGTTAGAACAACTCAACCACATAGATACATACAATTTTGATGTAAACAAACTGACAGAAAAGAATTTTCGGGTGCTCTCACAGATTATTAGCCTTTTCCCTCCAATCTAGAGAACTCCTCAATGCTGTTGAACTTCTGACGTCGGTATCTTTTAAATGTTTTCAGTTTCTATTTCCAAGTATCTTTTAAATGTTTTCAGTTTCTATTTCCAAGTATGAGGCTTCAAAGAGATCGATAAAGAGAATCTAAAGTCGGTATCTTATAATGTGAATTTATCACTAGTTTTACTCATGGACTGCTATTTTCTTCATCAGTTACAGTCGTTTCCACAAGATTCTGATCAGCCCATACAGACGCATCTAAATATCCAAGCTCGTAGAATTTGTCCAGCATTTCATCTTCTGCAGGTTCTAGTGCCCAGCTTAAGAGCTGGAAATTAGTAGAAGCGAGCATTTAGTTTCTCTTGAAAACATTTAGAAATCATATACTATGCCTGAATATAATCAACAACCAAAAGTAACATATACCTGTCTTGGAGTAGCTCTGTTTTCTGGATTGCAGTCTGGACTGATTCCAATCCCTCTCAATCCTATTCTGTTTGCTGGAAAAGCACAGACAAGAACCTGCAGTGTGAAAAGATTTTAGGTCCAACTGAATGGGTTCTTAGTGGGAATTGTGCTATTTTAATACTTTCGATAAACTAGAATTTTATTTAGCTATTCATAACAAGAAAATTGGAAAAATAAGTATGAGAATAAGGTGATTCTTGAGTTCTGTTCCAATGTAAATTAGAGGATTCAAGCTTCTTTACTTTTTCAGGAGAGCCAAGGAAAGATTTAATACCCAAGGAAAGATTTAATACCAGATGCAAGTGTTAAAACGGGAAGTAAGCTAGGTCCCAACTCCATTATTTTTGATGGACTTGTTAACTCCTCCAATGTAAGGGGAAAGTGTGGTGATGAGCTACACCTACGATATTTTCCAAAATTACTTTTGATGCCAACTTCCCCACGTTTTTGGTGTTTAGGGCTCTGATGAATAAGAATCCTAAGGTGATGTGATTCCTTTTGTTGCTTTGGTTTTTCTCCCCTAGTTTTCCATTATTTATCAAATGTCTTTGTACTACCCCACGGAAAGGACTTATCAGAAGTAAATCTCGGTGACCCTTTTTTTCTTCCTGACTGTGTGTATGTGTGATTTCGTCAATTTTCAACTGTTTTAATAATTTTGCATATTCTACACCCGGGAAAGGACCTGGATGATGGAGATAGTTGACGAAATTGTAATTTGTTTTTAAGATATGAATTAAAGGATGTTTGGCAACTGCTCAAAGTGGCTTATACGTCACTTTTTGTGGCTTACAAGGCACTGAAACATGTTTGGTAAACATCTTATTTTAACTTATAAGTCATGACAAAATAAGCTAGGTAAACCCAGCTTATTTTTTGTTGGCTTATTAACCACATAGTTTGACCAAGTAAAAGATCATCTTATCCCTTAGCATTTAAGAAAATTCCAAAGCCCTCTTTCTCTATTTCCAACTCCTTTTTGGTCATTTTGAGAACAAGTATGGATTATAAGTCCATTCATTTATCAAACACTCTACCACTAAAAATGGATTGTAATCCACTAAATTTACCAAACATTTTTGGATTATAATCACTTGACTTATAAGCCATCTGTGGATTATAAGTCAAATGGATTATAATCCAAAGTTTCCAAGCATGCTCTAAATAGCTTCTGTTTCAGATGAAGTATAAAGTTATAATTGTAAGATTCAATTTAACGTCTTCATGCTTTAGCAAATTTTGAAACACTTCCACTAGGATTGCCTCAAGCAATAGATCGGACTCACCGATGTGCAAACAGAAGCACCCACAAATATTGAAAGAGAAATTTGGAAACGCACATCATCTTTTGGTTGAGATTACTTACTGATTTTGAAGCTGAAGTTGGTGGCATAAACAATGTCAAACCCCCGTCAACGCACAACCGATTGCGAAAAATTGTTGCAGGTCTTGGAGCTAGATACCTATCAAACATTATATTAGCTGACACTTTCTACTTCATGACATGGTTTGTGCAAAAGGGCTGGAAGCATATTTCAGCAGTAACACACCCTGGAATATATGAGGAGGTGAATAGTGCATTGATAAGGTCTTCCTTAGAGTCAAATTTATCGATAAGTAAACCTTTTGGCCTCCAAAACAATTGAGTGATTGCAACTGTAGCGAAGAAAAGTGAAAATCTGACATTATCAGATTGCAGGCAGTAATCCTTGAACACAAAGCAAACATAATACAGAAAGTTGATATTTGACAGTGCTCCACTAGCATTCAGTAGTACAGCAGAAACAAACAACATGCAGTATGACATTCTTAATTCGGTAAATCTGGCCTCATTTGTAGATTAAATGGATTGTCCCAAGACAATAAATTACTAGAATATGTTAAGCATCATGTTTTTGGGAAGGTAAAAGGGAGAGAAGTCTGAGGACACACAAGGACTAAGTACAAATGCAGGAAAGAAGCAAAGCAACAATGTCTGGGAATAAGACAGTGGATCCTGGCGAAAAAGCGCAATGATTTCAAAACATAAACTTGAAGAAAATAAGAATTGAAAGGTGAGCCAACTGACCCAGGCTAAATGGAAATCGCATTATGCAGGTCGGATGAGATCTTAGTGGTATAAAGATATAGGTAACAGAAAATTGAAATAAGAGGACAGCGCTAAAAATACTAACAAAATCAATCCACTCTTATAATTTAACAGACAAGTTTACTAAAACGAAACGAGAGGCAACGCCAGGATAGTTCTGACAAACACCTAATTTGGGTATCAGTGTCAAACATTAGTCTCTATTTCAAAATGTATATATCACAAGCATTCTCTAGAAAACAAATATTAAGGAAGCTCACCGCGAATCCGACCATTGCACCTGACGTGTATATCATCTGGTAGAAGTTCATTGAGAATATCTCTCAACACTGCCTGATGAAATTGCATACTGGTTTCTTGTTAGGGGAAATGAAACAAGAATTGAAAAAAAAAACCTTTAGCCTTTAAATATGAATTTATGAATTCAAACAATTTTTGAATTGAAAGAGAGGAAATTTAAATGAAAAGTATGAATTCTAAATGATTTTTCAGTATAAAAGATGCTAGACAAAAGTTATGAAACTTATATATTATGAATTTCAGAAACTGTATAGCGTATACTAGGTCAAACTCATATACCCCTAGCCTAAATGCAGTGCCATTAAGACGGCAATCTTCAGCAAGAATCTTGGTAGCCTGTAGGGCTTCTTGCATACTTTTTCCAGAAGCAATCACCGCACAGACTATGGCACCAGCAGATGATCCAGCTAACGGTGTGGTTTCCTGAACCATTAAGCACAGATCGCGTTAGCAATTTGAATGAGAAATAAATGAGTAAAACATTTCAATAATGGCAACGGTGAGCAGCATTCGCTGGACAGGAAGACAAACAGCCAATCATTGGCACAAACTGAGATCCAGAAGCTCACACCATAAGGAACAAGCGAACTTAAGTGTTTAAGCATCTCTGATGCGATGACATCCGCACTAGCAGATAGTGGCTCATACTTCCTACAAAGGCAGTGTAAATCCGTTCTAGATTCGTGACCGATCGGATTTGAACTTGCACTAATAACATGTTAAAGACCCCTTCTAAGACACCAAAACTACGAAACCTATATGTTGAGGTTCGAGGGTTAACTATATTCCAGTACCCCGAGGTAAGGTATGATGTTATTACACGGATGACACTAGAGTTCGCGACGCAAAACAACGCTCAGGGTAATTCCTATAATTACGATCGACAACCTTGTGGTTGCCCACATATGCACACAAATTCCGGGGTCACCCGGCTGTAATTAATTTTTATATTCTAACACTGATATCCATGTCTCGTAATGCAACTGATTACTTCACGGAAGCACGCTGCCTAAATAATCCCCAAAAATAAAAAACGATACCCACACATCAAAATGCAGTGCTGATTGAAACAAATCGGACAAGACTCGCCTTAATGTAGCCTTTGTCAATCAAACACTGAGCAACCCCAAGATGATAAGGGAACAGCAGCCCGGCGGCCGAGAAGCTGAACCCGGGAGCTCGGTCACCTTCTTTGCCTCTCCCTTCTCAGCCTCCACGTACTCCTCCCTCTGCCTCCAGACCACCTCCTCGCCCTCCACCGCCCTCCCAGCCCCCTCCCCTCCCCTCCCCCCCCTTAAGTAGACCCCGCCCCCTCCACAAAACCTCGGGCCCCTCGCTCCTCGTCCTGATCAGCCACGACGCCAGGCCCAAGAAACAGCTCGCCGTCGCGACGGCGAGGGACTTCCTCTCCGCGGGGGTCTAGGGCTAGGGGTCGGGGCCTCGTCGCCCGCCCCCGCCGCCGCCGCCGCCTTGCGATCGGCGCGGCCCTGATGGAGAACTTGGAAGCCCTGGGGAATCTAGGGCTAGGGTTCGGAAAGAGGAAGGCGTGGGATTGCGAGAGGAGGAGTGACGAGGCCATCGTACCTCTTCTTGGCTTGAAGGCCATTTTCGATTCGATTCGAGAGGGTTTTTTATATTGCGAAATTAAAGAAAGAAAATGACGAGGAGCGAAGGAAAAGACAAAAGAGAAAAGAAAGTGGGGCCCCTCTCGGGTTTTTATTTATGATTCGGTATTTTGTTCCGCCAGAACCAAATTTCAAAAACGGAGCGCATAAATAACTTGCCCCCCGTGTGAATTTGCTTTAACAACGTTATATCAAGTTTAATCTGAAGTGACGAAAATGCCCTTCTGCCTGAAAACTACCCCTTGGTAAAAAAAGGCTCAAATACCAAATTGATATTTTTATACGAATCATTTTGTCAGTTTGGTATTTTTAGAAACTCCGGCGACGATAAGACATTTAATCTCCTACTTTTTTTCAATAAGACAATTTTCTCAAAATTCCGGCGAGAAAATTTGCTTTTAACCCCTTATCTCCCAAAATTATTAAATTTATACCCTAAATTATCAAAAAAATATTTCATCCCCTCCCTCTCCTCCTCCTCCTCCTCTCCAATTCCCCTCTCCTCCCCTCCTCCGCCTCCAAAACTTTTTGGGTCGAGTTCGATTAGGTTCTTGATTGAGGACTCACACATCTCGACATCGCCGTGAGTACGAGACCCACTTAGGATCGAGCTCCATGTGGGCGCATCAAGCTTCATCTGGCATCGAGGTTCACTACACCCACGCTCTTCCGATGAGCCCAGCTTCGTGCGTAGAGATCTGTGATGCATCCATAATGCTTTCAAGGAATTCTTCTGCTCCTCCGCAAAATCCAGATTTATCTAGGACATCTCTCATGTAATTAAACTCAGCCTCAAGAGGGATGTGGCTAGATTTCAGCTCAGCATCTGCTAAGGATTACGCAAAATATATAAGAAATGAGAGAAGTGGGTCTTCAGAACGTTTGATATGTAATGCAAATACTTTACCTTGTAACTGAGCATAATTTGCTGGACTGATTCCTTCCTCTTCTTCAAAATATGAAATGAGAACATAAAGTGGGCTTAATATCCTGCAAACCATCATCTTCTGGGATTGACTTCAATCTCCCAGGCTGTCTTTTGTATTCTCTGACTGAAACAGACTCGGGCAATTGAGCGCATTTATCAAAAGACTCATGCCATCGATCATGCGGGCCCAGGTGAGCACATTCCTCTCCGGAATCGCGTGGAAGAGCATGCGAGTGAGGTCGAGGTGCCCAGCGCGTAGGTAGGACGAGACGACAGAGTTGTAGCAGGTGAGGTCGGCGGGGCGGGGGGCTTCGTGGAAGAGCTGGAGGGCGGGGAAGAGGGAGCTGGAGGGCGGAGGAGGGGAGGAGAGGGGAATTGGAGAGGAGAAGGACGTTGACGAGGATGATGAGGAGGAGGAGGAGGGGGAGGGAGGAGATGAAATATTTTTGTGATAATTTTGTTGGCCTCTTTGTTTTGATGATGTTTAACAAATAATTTACTACTAATGTTATTTGTCTAGTGTTTATGGTTTTTTATTTATTGTAGACAAACAACGCGTTGGAGGATGGATGGAATTGCGTCATAACGATCATATCAAATGGAGGTTGGCGGAATAGTGGTTGAAGCCTTGCAATTCAAGTTGAAGATCCAAGTCCAAGCTTCATCCACAAAGTTTATCAAGTTGAGCTACAATGAAGATCAAGATCAAGCTTGGGTAACATTAGTTTGTGTTTATATTATGTGTGTTAGTACTTTAAGCTCAATCATATATACACACACATATTTGGTTTTTATATATATAGTTATATATATACACAAGTTTTGGTTATGGACTTAACAATCATTGTATATATATTTCATTAAGTCCATAAAATCATTTCATAGGGTTTTAAAACATTTTTTATGTCAAAACATCAAATTTCATGTATATCACATTTTCATGTTTTAGACACACTTACAAAATACATGAGTTTTCATAAATGAGAAACTCAATTTGAGAAAATCTTTTTCTAACATGTTCAATTTCATGTTTATAAATGTTTAGCAAAGTTTTATCAATTTTGGAATTAATTTGTTATGTTTATTTGAATTTACAAAATCAAGTTTTTAATAAGCTCATGTTCGTGCATGTTTTTACAAAACTGATGTGTTTTCACAATTGGAAAATACGATTTGAAAATTTTCTTCATTTACATATTTATACTTATATATATAAACATTTCTCCAAGTTTTACTAATTTTGGAGTTGTTTTGTTATTTTTAATTGAATTTACAAAACCGAGTTTTTAGCAGTTTTTTCAGAAACTATATATCTATGTTCAAATATTTATTTCTATCAAATGGGAAGTGATATTTCATAAATTCTTTCTCTAACATGTTTATCTACATGTCTAGAACTTTCCATTAAAATTTCATGATTTTTGGAGTTGATTTACTATTTTTAATTAATTTTATAAAGTTAGATATGCAAATTTCCACAAACTGCCAAAATCAGAAACTGTCCGTGAACAGTGCGGTCGACCGCTGTTACTGTAGCAGTCGGACGTTGTACAGTAACGATAACATCTGTTTCTTTATTTTTTTTACTGGGTTTTTAGGGTTTTTTGAGTTGTTTTCTTCTATCCTATATATACCCATTTGTCATAATTATTTTTTATCACCAAGAGAGAGTTTTAAACAAGTTTTAAAAAAATATTAAAAGTTTGTTTAGTTTGTTTTAAGTTTGGGGTTTTTGTTTACAAAGGAAGAAGCTTGCGTTGTCAATTGAGGGATTCATCCTCAATCTTCTCCATCCTCTCCTTTGTGTTTATAGAGAAATTTATTTAACTCTTTTCTCTAGCAATTTTATTATTGTTTTTCATATTCTTATTATTGCTAGTTTGCTAATTGAGTTAGATCTTATTTTACTCATTGTTTATACACACCCAATTGAGCTTATTGTATTTTTATACATGGTATATTTGGGTTGGTGAGAGTTGTAACAATTGAGTGTGTGTTTTAATTGAGTTCTCGCCTTGTATTAGAGAACAAATCATTTGTTGTTATTTGAGAGTGTTGTAGAGTTTTCGGTTAGTTAGAAAACTGTATTGTGAGGTGTGGAGTGTAGACGTTGATCGGTGACCGTTGAAAACCGATACTGTGAGGTGTAAACGTTATTCGGGTGAGCGTAGAAAACCCGGTTGTGATAGTGGATTTCTCCCAGGGAGTGGGGAGCGGAGACGTAGGACGGAAGGTCCGAACTCCGTGATCATATTGTGTGTTTGCATTGTTTATTTACACTATCACTCTTATCTTGTTTATGTTTATTTCACCATTGTGTTAGTTTATATATCCTTGCATATATTACCTCTTTGCTAGGATATATCTCTTTATTTATATTGCTTATTCTTGCTTATAACTCGTGTATATCTATCTTGTAATAATATATTTGTATTAGTTTTAATTGGCATAAAATCGGATTAGATTAGCTTAAGATCCTAATCAGCCCCCCTCTAGGGTCTAACAAATTTTGGGTATAAATTTAATAATTTTGGGAGATAAGGGGTTAAAAGCAATTTTTCTCTCTGGATTTTGAGAAAAGTGACTTATTGATAAAAAGTATGAGATTAAATGCCTTATCGTCGCCAGAGTTTTTAAAAATACCAAACTGGCAAAATGATTCGTATAAAAATACCAATTTGGTATTTTAGCCTGGTAAAAAATAACAAGAGCTTTTATCTCCTAATACTCGACTCTAGTCCTCATGGACGAGCGAGAACGGGCTAATCTTGGGTTGACGAGCTGTGCAACAGGCGGCCCTCATTCTATGATTTCAATTTGGGGAAAATAATTAGGTTCGAAGAGGAAGAAGATGAAGAAGAGAAAGAATAATATTATTTAGTAAGGAGATGGGTTCGTAGAGTTATAATTAATATAACAAGTAAGGGTAGTTTGCACTTAAATTAGTCACGTGAGGCAGCACATGGGAATATTCTCACGGTTAGCTGATCGAAGATAGGAAACTGTACATCTCCCTTTCGAAATGGCTAAATACCCATATTGGTATTTTAATTCAACCCTATTTGCTAAGAAGGTATTTTAAATAAAAAAATCGGCGTTAAGGCATTTTAATTGATTAAAATTACCAATTAGGTTCTTTTTCTCGTCGGCGACCATTTTTCCGGGGAGAACTCGTCACGTGCGTGACACGTGATGACTTAATCTGTGTTTTAGCTGATGATGTGGCTCGGTTTGCTGATGTGGCTCGGTTTTAGCTGCTGATGTGGCTTAATCACAATTTAAGTCCAAAACGAACCAACCTGGACCCTAAAAATTTCAAAACAAAGATCAAACTTCCACGCATTCACTCCAGATCTCAGATCCAACTCAATTATCTTCCCTTTACCGCTAACAGAAGCAGCCAAAAACCCCCGATTCCAGGAACTTCTAGAAGAAAACGCCATGGGAATTCGGAGAGAAGAGAGTGAGAAGACGAAGATCACTGCAGACTAGATTACCGCCGGCGCGGCCATGGATCGATGCAAGAGAAAGAGGTTCTATTTATACGGTAATTTCTCCACTAATTTTTCGCTAATTTTTTTACCAATTTTAGAAATGGGGGATTTTAAAATGCATCGACTCTTATTCTTCCTGTCACTGCCACGTCAGAAAACCGGTTGAATTAAAATGCACGTGACGAGTTCTCGCCGGAAAAGTGGTCGCCGACGAGAAAAAGGACCTAATTGGTAATTTTAATCAATTAAAATGCCTTAACGTCGATTTTTTTATTTAAAATACCTTCTTGACAAATGGGGTTGAATTAAAATACCAATATGGGTATTTAGCCCTTTCGAAACTTGAGATATATTGCTGGCTTTTTAAGAAACAATAGGATATCCAAGTGCAATTTAGCCTTGTGATTTTAAAAAGTTGTTGTGAAATTAAAAAAAAAAAAAAGGTGAAGGCGAAAGAATAGTCTCTTTTCAAAGAATAGTTCGAAGTATTTAATGGTCAAACTAAAATGTTATAAATGTACCTTTGATTATAATTATTTCTAACCGAGCATGCCACAAAAGGAAGGAAAATTTTATAAGTTACCAATCTTCCGAAAATAAAGTTTATATTTTTTAAATTATAAGTTTTCCCTTTAGTTTAATATTTGTTACTAATTTGATCCTCCTATAGTTAAATAGAACATATTTATTAAATGATGTGCGTGTTTAAAATTTTAAGAAGCCAGATACATCCAAAGACATCTTTGAAGAATGAGAGATGTTCAAGAGAAACAATCAAAAAGTGATTGTACGACATTACTCGAGAAACAAAAAATATGTTATCCAACAAAGGAATTTATTGACCTTTTTTTTCTTCAATTCAAATCCCCAAAATTTAAATGATTTTTTTTAAACCAGATGATGAATTAAAGATCGTGAATTGCGACGACCGAAGAAAAATCAGCTTCGTTATAGCCAATACGCAAACAAACCAACCACGTAATAATTCATTGTATATTAATAGAGATCAAAGATCCCTCAAGTAAGCTCTTTGATATTCAACAATGTAAATAAATAAATAATATTTTCAACCTCGCTAAAATTTTTTTAAGGACCCAAAATATGGGACCAATAGAGGGGACAAATAAGGTGTCCCCTCCTATTGGATAATGAGTTGGCCATCATTAATGATAGCCAACTCATTATCCAATAGTAGGGGGACACCTCACTTGTCCCCTCTATTAGTCTCATATTTTAGGTCCCTGTAGCAAAGCTCAAATAAATATTGGGATCCAGTACGGTCATCAGGTAGTTTAATTACCCGCCAGCGCCAAAACCATAATTTTAATTTTTAATATTCGCTACTAATCGCCGGCATTATAGAAGACGAGCTTGAAAAGTCTCCTCCAAAGTCCAGTCTCTCTCCGATCTCTCCGCGTTCTCGACTCTCACTTTCATCGCAGCAGTCAAACCCTAACCCTAATTATTCTTGCCCCTTCTTTTATTAATGGAATCAAAATCCCCCGATGTTCTCTTTCTCCTCCCCTAGCAAGAATCGCGGCAGCAAGAGCGTCATGGACCCTCGCCGCCCCCGGGCGCGCCTCGATCGCGCGGAACGCGCCAAGAAATCGAATACGACGCGCGGCGGCGGAGCCTCGTCGCGTGAGACCCTCCGCTTCACCCGGTCCCTCGACCTCTCGCCGTCGTACTCGAACCAGACGAGCTTTCGAATTGGCGGGAGCATCGAAGGCGAGGTTCGATTTGATTTGCCAGAGCTTGGGGCTTTCTGGACCCGAGGAGTTCGCGATCTCGGCCGCGCTGGGAGGCGAGCAGGGAGAGGACGATCGTCGTCGGATCTGCTTCCTCGTCCCGTTTTCTCCGGCGAGTCGAGTTCGGGAGGAGGAGTGCTGAAGCTCGCAGATCCAGCGGCTAGGGTTTGCGAGAATGGGCGGGATTTTGAGAATCCATTAGGCCTTCAACAGAAGCTGTGGTTCAGAATTCGAGGGATGGGGGGATTAAAGGGGTCCGGCCGCCGACGCTGACCCCACCGGATGCGATGTCGATCAAGACACGATCGGCGCCTCCGACGATGTCGAGATCTGAGCTGGAGAAGGTTGGGTCTCCTTGGGATTTGATTATGTCTTTCGCACCGGATGATGATGATGAAGAGGGAGGGGAGAGAAGGAGATTTTATCAGTCTGAGGAGGAGGAGGAGGAGGAGGAGGGGGTGAGGGAGAGATTGAGAGCGGAAACTTCGGAGGATGTTACTTCGACGTCTAACGATGATGATTCGTCGAGCACTGCAACTGATATCTCGCCGATTGGGAGATTCAACAGGACGATTCAAGGATTGGTAAGGGAGGATGATATGAAGCGAGTCATTTGGACCGTGTATGAGCGGAATTAATGGGTTAAGTAGATGATGCATTCTAAATTTTGGATTTTTCTTTGTGACTTCTTAAACTATTATTTGCTTTGGAGCATTCTGTTTATTTTTTTTTTTATAATGGCTCCATTCATCTTGTTGGCTTCTTTGGTTGCACCTATGGCAAAGATGTTTATTCCTTAGCCTCAGCAGCTATGAACTTAACTGGCATATGGGGGTGGGGTGGGGGGGGGGGGGGAATGGCCAGACTAGCAAGGCTTAAAAAAAAGATAAAATTGTGTTTAGGCATCTGAGATTTTTAGAAATTCCCTATCACTTAAATGTCATAAATTTTATTATATCAAGATAGCAAAAGCTAAAATAGTTCTATAATTTGATATATTTTGTGTGCAGTGTACAAAGGGATGAATCTTTGATTTTAGAGGTCTAAAAGTAATGGAGAAAAGATATTGGGCTGCAATAGAATTTCTAAAAATGCCATAGTCTAGAACAGAATTTTCCAAAAAATATATAATGCCTAGATGTTACGTACCTTTGCCTCCATGACTGTGTGGAGGCCTATGTCAACCTGACTTTTGCTCCCATTTGATGTCATTAAGTGCTTAGATCTGTATTTGTGTATCACATGAATTTTTGATGTGTCTTTAAATTACCTAATGGTTAGAAACAATTCGGTTTGTGAAATACTTAAACGATATGGATAATTTCTTATTAGTAATGATAAGTGTCAGGATTTCAAGCTTCTTTCAGATACATCATTTGCTATAAGGATTGGACCTGATCTAGATGAGACAACTATATCATTTCAATACTCTGATGGAATACCTTCAACCCTGTCTCAACCTTAGTGAATTTCCCATAGACTTTGAGCATAGCTAGCTGACTTATCTCATCTAATTCATTTTGAAAACCCAATTATCCAACTTGATGGTGTTTTAGTATACCATGTAGAGCTAACACAGAGAGATTGGTCAACCTATCTGGTTCATTTTGGAAATGTATTGTATTTGACTTGCTACTCTACCTGCATTTGACTTATATGAATATCATTTCAAATACATAACCTTGTCCATCTCCCTGAGTCAACTTATCTGAATAGGATTTTACTCTACAACCATGAGAATTGGGTCCGTATAGGCACAAATTTGCCTATATCATACAAGGATTCTTTCTCCATTATATTAGGGTACCTGACACCCTAAATACAAGACAAAAATTACAAAAGTATTGTGATAACAAAGCATTAAAGGATTAATATATGTGTTGTACCTCGTATCTTCCAAGCTTCTTACTTTAAGCATTGTGAAGTACCTTCAGATTGTTGAGCTTCCTGAACAAGGAATTTTATCTGTGATGATATGGCCTGTATCTGCTTTTATTGCCTGAGACTGTCCTCTCATTGATGAAAATTTGTCAGTGTTCTTTCAGAATAATCTTTTATACAAAACTTGCTATATTGCATTTCTAAATTTTATAATTCAATTCTTGCTAAACTTTGTGGTACCCATTATGTTTTATATCATATTCAAATTTAACCTGGATGATAGACTCAGTTTTAATAATCTGAACAAGAATTGAAACGTGCATCTTCTACTAATGAAAGAACTTGATAAACACGCAAGATTTGAAGGTTTTCCCCTTCCTTGCCTTACGAAGTTCATTCTGCTAGTTAAATTATGTTGGCATTGGCTTATTCTCCTGGAATACCTAAACTTATCAGCTTATCTTGACAGTAAACACGCAAGATTTGAAGGTTTTTCCCTTCCTTGCCTTACGAAGTTCATTCTGCTAGTTAAATTATGTTGGCATTGGCTTGTTCTCTTGGAATACCTAAACTTATCAGCTTATCTTGACAGTGACGGTTTCTTTTTTGCTGTAAAAGAAGTATCTTTACTTGGTCGTGGAAGTGATGCCCAACAATGCATTCTTCAACTTGAGCAGGTGAAATAATGTCTATTTGTCCTGTTTCCTTGATACTTTATGTTGTGTTTTTTACTTCTTAGGTTCATCTTTAGTGTTCCCTCACGTTACCAATTTTACTGTTTTAATATTTATAACCGCCTGAATTTTCATGGAAGATATTTATGTATCTTTAACTTAGTCCTTTTGACTGTTGATATTGCTATTTCTCACGTTTAAATTTACTTTCAGGAGATTGCTCTCTTAAGCCAGTTTGAACATGAAAACGTTGTTCAGTACTACGGAACAGAGAAGGTATGTACAGTTGGGGTTATAGCTTCACTTTCGTAAGCTCTGCAGAATTATTTTTGTTCAATTGTACTTTCCTGGTTGAGGTTGTTGCTGAAATAAATGGGTTGCTAAATTGCTTATAACCTTTTCCTGTTGAACAATAGTAGAACTTAAAACTCGACATGTACTGTTGATCAGATTTGACTCGTTTTTGTTGAATTTGAATGAGCCCCTGTTGAATCTGAAACATAAAATTGAATGGTGTGATAATTTTATTACTTTCATCTCAATTTTTTATAGTTGCTCTGGTATTTTAGATATTATTAATGCCTTATATTTGTAGTATACTAGTATTCCTTTGATACTTAATTTGCTTGAGTTATGCACTGCAACTACTTGTGATCCCAGTTCTCCTTGGATGTTAATTTCTGTATTTAATAAAAATGTTACTTTCTTGCGTTGCGCAAATGAAATGTTCCATCCATAGTTGATTATCTGGTAAAATCATCATCATGGTAGTTGGTTAAATGCTCTTTAGGTTTATAATTTCTCAACCTTGAGCAGGATTGAGGTTGTACAATATGCATGTATAAATTTATGTAGAAATTTGATCACCATTAGCAAAATTTCAATCTTTTTCAAGTAGTTTTACAGTGTTGTATTCTTGGTATTTTGGTATATAAGCTGCTTATGATAGATTCTTGGGTACTTTTCTACAGGACCCAGAAAAACTATTCATTTTCCTTGAGCTTGTCACACAAGGCTCTCTAGTATCTCTGTATCACAAGTATCATCTTCGAGATAGCCAAGTCTCTGCATACACCAGACAGATTTTAAAGGGTTTAAATTATCTTCATGAGCGCAATGTAGTTCACAGGTGATGCAACTGTCTAAACCATTACATTTGTTTAAAACAGATACCTGAAAGATTTCCCTTGACTTTACTTTGTGATCATGCTTTACTATATTAATGATTTCCTAGAAAATTTTCAAATTCACAGGCCAGTTCAGTTCTATTTTAAACTGATTTCTGAAAAGAAACTCGGTTTTTTTTGTCATTCTAATATTATTCCTTAATGATATCTTACACTAGATTTTTTCATAAGTTTCAAGGCTTCTGATCGCCTCTTATTTGTTTTAAACAAAATCCTAAGAATTTTGTTTTAATTTTTCCTATTTTCAGCATGTGACACAAATTCCTTAAGATGATGTTTCCTGCCGCAGTTTCATTCTCTATTTCCTGTTTCCTTCTCTCATATTCATAATGATGAAACAGTGATAAGCTGTGTATTTTTTATTTTATTTTTACTTTTTTTTTTGTTGCATCCCATCACTGTAACTTGCTATACAGCATTGAGTTACTAGAAACAGTATGAAACTAAAAATACCTGGAACAGGCTATGCCTATACTCTAAATGCAAGGAAACTATTTTATTACTCTTGATGGCCCTCGTTTTTTTTTTATTACATTTCTCATTTGGAAAGATAAGTCTTCTTCATCTCGTAATTTTTTTATCTGCTTTCTTCTTTGCCAGAGATATTAAATGCGCCAACATTTTGGTTCATGCAAGTGGATCTGTGAAATTAGCAGATTTTGGATTGGCTAAACAGGTTTATTATTCTGCGCATCTGTGATCCTTATCCCCCCCCCCCCCGCCTTTTTTATTTTGTTATGACTGTAAAAAATTTCAGATTACCAAGATCAACGTGCTGAAATCTTGCAAAGGAAGTGTATACTGGATGGCTCCAGAGGTTCAGTTGCTTTCTTTCAATCCAATTTATTATTATTTTTTCCCTGGAAACCTGAAATTTTGTTTATCACACACAAAAGCTGCTTTAACTAGGGGAAAGTGTGCTTGATATAGTTCATCGTCGTCCAAGCCTTTTACCACTAAATGGGGATGGGTCTGGAACATGATTCTAAGTTGAAAATTTTTCAACTGCAACCTGATCTGATTTTTAAGACCAATCAAGTCCTCAAGCGGTGATCATGCGCCTGCGCATGGTAACGTGTCCACCCATCTAGATGCACATACAAAATATGTCATCGTAATAAGTTGCTGTGCTTTCTATGCTATTTACCAAGGAGGCAAACATTTTATTATATTATCATCATCTACACTGCTTCGCTTCCTTTTCTCATTAGGCATTTATCTTTTCAGGTTGTTAAACCAAGACAGCCATATGGACCTGCAGCTGATATATGGAGCCTTGGCTGTACTGTGCTTGAGATGTTAACTCGTCAGGTTCCATATCCAAATATGGAATGGGTGAGTAATCTATTGATAGTAATTTTACGATATTGTTCGTCTTACGATTCGATTTAAATTTTAGGTAGTAAATTAAAACAATATGATATATTGATAATGAGCAACATTCTTTAAAAGTATTGCTAAGACTGCATATGCTACTTAAGTGTTGGCCGTGTGCATATCCTTGTGATCCTGAGAATTCAAAGTATCCGGTAGATCGAAAAATTAAAGAGAATGTACCACACATAAATATGTGTGGCTATGTGACACTAACCCTTTCACATAACGTTTATATTCCGAACTAATTAAACTGATGCAATATACTTTATGAATTTTTTTTTTTTACCCTTGTTTTACAGATACATGTACTTTACAAGGTTGGAAAGGGTGAAAAACCTCCAATTCCCCCCAATATCTCGACGGATGCCCGAGATTTCATCACCCAATGCGTACAAGTCAATCCATCTGACAGGCCCTCTGCTTCTCAGCTATTAGAGCATCCATTTGTCCGAAGATCACTCCCATTTCTAGGATCAGTCCCTGATTATTCTTCTTCACCTAGCAACAACAGATAAAATTTATTTTTTACATCTAGGTACGGAAGCAAGAAAACTTTCTCCTGTGCACTACCTCCATCATGTTCTATTTTGAGATAACCCCCTAAACTTTAAAAATGTTGCTAAACCTGCCTTGAGTTATCGGAGTGTTTCAGAAACCGTCCAAACATTTCCATTTTTTTTCCCCAAATACTATACCCCTAAAGGTGTGTGAGATGAACCGGTAACAGGACCCAAATAACCTTTTCAAATTATTATTATTATAGGAAAATTAACAATGAAACCCCCAAAACTCTTATCTAACCCTAATTAGAGAGAGGGGAGAGACATGAAAGGGGTTGTTAATCAGGGGAGATCTTTGTCATTTGGACAAGTGTTCAGTTTAGATTTAACCAATGTTAGAGAGGAGGGTTGTCTGTCAACTGTAACGTAATGGGCCAAGGGCCAAGGGCCGGTTCATCTTAGGCTCCGACTTTTTATGGGAGTTTTGTATATATCCACACCTTCTTTTTTAGACGACCGGAATTGTACACACATGTATATATATGTTTGTATGTGTTATTTCGCAAGGCGTGTTGATGTTTCATCCATCGAAGGATTGTATCCTCATGTACATATAATTGGCTATTTCTAGAGAAATCTGGGGTGTTTGTGATTGCGAGAGTTCAAATTTCGCCTACGTATCTCCCTTCTTTACTTTTTATCTTTTTGCGCGACTATGTTTTCCTCGACCTAAGTTTCTCAGCTTAAATGGATTGCCATGGACGGTCGAATTCATTGATTTCTCATCCTCCAAACCCATCTGAGCCGAGAGGGTTGAGTTCATAAAGTTGTAAATTGGCGAATCCGCCATCGTGTACTCTGAGAAGGGTCAGGTGTACACAGCGTTGCCGGAGGTTGTTTGCGTGTACTCTGAGAAGGGTCAGGTGTACACACGTGCTTCTCATGACTCTCCAAAGATAATAGAGACATCAGAGAAGATGATGGAAGCCATCAGATTCCGCAGCAAAGAACGAGATCCTCTTAGCGAATTACTCGAGTGCAAAAACCAACCAAAATTATTTCAAGAACTACATACCGAGGTTATTTTATCGTCTCGTTCCTAGGATACATTTCATACACCTCGCATCTCGTATTACATTAATCATGCGTATGCCACGCGATTATTTTCTTTCCCCTTTCAACAGCTAAAGATACAAGCCTACGGGATGAAACTACCATCCCCTTGTATTCCTGTGTATAAATAAACAGCGTATATATAACGAAACTGTAGACCAACTCAGCTAAAACTGGCTCTTTCATCACAGTTCAAAATGATGGTAGCCAAACCGTGCGAACTAAAATCTAGTGTGTCCTCCCCCTAAAACTTGAGCTTTTCTCCAGGGTATACGGAAGCAGGCTTAACGACGCCTACCCTCTTTTGCTCAGGAAATTCCTGGCTTGGCTTGCCATTCTGTCGCGGCACACTGACCTCAGTATTTTCCTCGGTGTTTTTGCCTTTATCTCTCCCCTGCCTGTCGTAAGAACAAAGCCGTGACTTTGTTAATGAAAGTTGGACCGACGTAGGATTAGATTCTTCGAAAAGAAAACACCGTACCTGACATGGTTAACAAGGAAGAGAGCTCCGATCAATGTCATTGCTCCCACCACAGATTTCAGCACTTTTTTGCCTTTGGCTCTCTCTTTAGGCTTCCCATTTGAGTTGAGCTCAGGCATTAATTTCTTCTCACATCCTTCTGGTCCCTATTCAAACCAATTAATAACGGACATTTAGTTAAGAACAAAGCGATTGATATTATAACTATAAAGCGCGGATTCTATTAATGTGCGACTTTTTGGCGTGTGTATATGAAACATTTACTCCCAAATATTACCTTCATTGGTTTTCCATTGCCATCTGCTTCTTCATTCTCCTTGATGGAACCGATCAGAGCATCTCCTTGATTTTTGCCATCAATTCTTTCCTCTGCAAATATATCCCTTTTGAATGATACTTCTTTCTCAGAAATCTTAACTTCCATCAGGGAAATATTTTCCTCTGCAAATATATCCCTTTTAGGATCACTTACCAGTGGAAATGAGAAGTTATCAGCAGTATAGTCATTATTTGCATACTCCTCTTCTGAACCTACTTCAACCTCATCAGCAGTCTTTTGTCTATTTTCTAGGTTCCGATCCAATTCCACAGAACTCGCAGAGGGGCTGGAGATTTTAGAAGGCACCCTTTGGTCATCACCATCACCAATGCTGTAAAACATGATATTGTTCCCATCACCGGTAGAATTGCTAGGATCCGTCTTAAAGGTACTAATAGTACTCTTTTCATTACTTCCTTCAGCATTTACTTCCTTTTCTATCCCATATATCTTCTCATATACTGTATCTTGCTCCGAGATACTATTATCATCGCTGATAATAGTTTGAACCTCCGGTGAAGGGCGTTTAACTGTGTTAATATATTCTTCTTTTGGATGCTCATGGCTTATATTAATAGCAGAAGATGAAGACTGAGCCAAATTATTTTCTTCTTCATCAACTACATTCAGTCCATCCAAATAATGAGGAAAGCGTCCATTAGCTAACGTAAAATTTTGCGTGCTTGCTATATCAACAACTTCAATCTGTTCTTGAGCATCTGATCTCAATTGTGTTTGTACCTTAGATAGATCTCCATCAACTACCAAATCTCCTTCAGGTGAATCCATTTCCATTAGGTTGGAAAGTTTGGCAGCATCATAAGAAGCATTTGAGAACGAACTATGAAACACAACCTCAGTATAAGCGCTTTCTGCTTCGTCAGACTCGGAATATGAATCATAATGCAGAGTGTTCTGTCCACCAAGGCTTGTCTACAGAGGATAAAATATATTAGTCAGCAGATAGAACTGATAACTATATTGGCAGTCTATTTGGTGATAACAGATAATACCATCGGTTCAGTAGATGAGCTAGTATATCCACCGGAACTTGAAGAGCTATATTGTGATTTTTCCAGGGTTCTACGGATACCACCGACCATTTCAGTAGGCATTGCAATTGTATATGTGACTTTATCAAAATCTGGAACCTACAACAGAAAAGTTCATTTCTTTATCTGGGAGAAGATTGACCTCAATAACATGTTCAAGCTTAAATATAGAACAAAATACATATTGGTGTTTGTGTCCTCCAGTGCTCACATTTAGATTCTCCAACCTTGCTTTCTTAGAGAAAGAACGGATACACATACAGACTCTTCGAACATCTCTTTTCTCAACAACATCAGATGGAGAGAACAAATCGATACCTGTCAACCCCAGGATCTGGCATACCTGATGAACAGAAGGAAGTTCTCTATCAGCAGGTTATACAAAGTTTCAGCAAGACATTAAAAAAAAGAATAATTGCACGTCTGTAGATTAAAAAGAACAAATCACTTCTGTTAAAAAACAAAAGAACAAATCGCCCAGTACTTTATAATGATTAGGCTGAGGGAGAACGAATGATTCCACACTCTAAGAAAGCATTTCAGGTTGAAGGTGAGGAGATGCTTGAGAAACAGAGAATTTCATAACCAAAATAATTTTCCATCAAGCAATCACTATGTAGATTCTCCATTGAAATCACACTTCGTCTAATGCCAAAACAAGGGGTTTGTCTAAGCTGTTAACATATTTATCCTGTGATCTCTTAACCTCCCAGCAGTAATTGACACTAGACTTAGGCTGTCTACATCTTGATTGATCACAGTTGCAGTCTCGGACCAGCATGACTACCCCGCCCTACTCTCCGGCGACCAAACCCATGGACATATTTTTATTTGAAAAAACTTTATGATTCAGTTAAAAAGTAACATATGTATAATTTTAATTAAATGACAAATATTTCAAATTAGTAAGTGGCAGGCAGATAATACCTTCAGAAACGAATCAACCTTAGGGTAAGGCATGTATTTCCCATCGCTCTTGCCAGATGAAGTTCGCTCATATATATACACTTTTGAACTCGTCAACTCTACATGCTTTTTCAGAAGCATTTTCCAGGTTAACTTTGATACTTGGAACCTAGTAGGGATGAAGAAAAATCCATAAGTCGAACATGTCCGAAATTGTGCAATAGCAATAAAGCAAGAATCATCCAAAAGAAAAGAATAGTTTTGCGATCATTAAGTGTAGATGGCATGTATTGAATAACTAGTATGCTATAATTCTCAAATAACCAGATGCGTTCTATATAGGAAAGCTGAAACTAGTGCTAGTTTGAATATTGTATGTTTATTCAACTCCACATAAGTAAGGTGAATAGGCCGTGACCCATGAAAATTAAAAGCAAACAGCCTACACCCGATTCTTGTTTGCTATTGCTGCCTATCCCTAAAGGAAAGTTTTCACAATGTATATTTGACATTTACGCATGTATAATTTCTGAGAACCATGCAAATGTCTGATATTTATAGAAAACCATAATTAAATGGTATATCACATGAACACTTCGTGCATATGAGGCTTATTCTGTATTGCATCTCTAATGGGAGGCCATTAATGCAATATACAGAATAAATGATAGTTACCTTCTTACATAGCATCATTACCAAAATGCATGTCCATCACCACATTATCAAGAGCTTCAGCTGATGAGCGGTGAGCCAACAATTGTAGTGTACCACCCCAAAAAAAACCTACCCAGGCTCCTCGCAGAGTAGGCACCTGTTATTTACGTGCACTAAGGAATTATTTTCCTCTTCTGGCATTTAATGAAGGACTTTAGCCAATATCTTTTAATCTGGTGCTCGTGTCTTATGTTACTGATCATGGCGTCACACCACCCAGAAGCTTAAACTGATGGTGGTGGTTCAGTAATTGTTTTATCCGTAACATCCAAGCTTCCAACAATATGGGCATTAAGGACAGCATATGTGCCACATGAACCTAGGTATGTCTCTTTTTTACTATGTCAATTCTCACACTCACACTACATTCACAGAAGGGGTGGAGAAATCTAATCATATATGTACTAAAAAAACTAGGAAATATACTTATGTCTCTTTTTTACTATGTCAATTCTCACACTCGCACTTCATTCACAGAAGGGGTGGAGAAATTTAATCATATATGAACTTAAAAAAAAACTAGGAAATACACTTACTGAAAACGAAAGAAATAAGAAATGCAGCAGGAAAGTAGACATACAGCAATTCTCCATCGGCAAGTAAATCAGCAATAGCCGTCTCCTCATCAAATCTTATGTGCAGAACCTCCCCCAGCCATATTCTGGTCTGCGTCTGTAAAATGAACAAGCTACTTCAGCAAGCTGCTTACAACATCAGGTGCTAAACATAAAATTTGGAATGGCAAAAGCATGATGATGGTGGGGAGCTCCCGGAGAGCTCCTCCTTTGGAGCAGGACAAATGCATCGATTGTCACGCCGCAAAAAAAAAAAATTATATGGAAGCTATATCACATAGAGCATGGAGGCAGGAGGTAAGCAACACCAAGACCCTCAAAAATGTGATTTTTCCCATTATGACGACACAAAATGCGACCATCCTACTTCAGTCTAGTTGAGCGTTGCAAAATGGATCGCAATAGTTTACTCGATAAAATGCCCTAAATCTAGGCATAATGATATGAATTCGTTTTTTTTTTTTTTCCGTTTTCTTTTCTCAGTCTCTCATTGAATAACTTATCACTAATCTATTCAATTCACTTGTAAAAGATTTTGCATTTTAAGCAACGCCCTTTTACATAAAACTCCATGATTCTCTTCCACTTTCCTCCTAGCAAATCAGCCCACATAAAATTTTGCAGAAGATAATTGCCCAAGTCAAACACTCCCCAATACTGCTAAAGCCATCTCCTTTATCTAAAATCTGAGGGTTCTTCAACGTAAAAAAGCAAACTTTCCCCCGAAAACATTAAAAAAAACATTAGCTAGAAGCCAAGATAACCAAACCAATACTTCAATCAATCAGAACTCGCGGTAATAGCTTTAATTTTAGTAAGAACCCCGAATCGCCGCCAACGTACTCAGAAAACAAAACCAAGTGAAGGGCGCCTACCTGCAAAAACACGTCATCGAGCTCACGAAAGCTAGACTCGGCGGAG